CTGAAAGGGGCTCTAAGGTCTCTCTGGATCCTTCTCTTCTCCAGGTGAACACCCCCAGCTCTCCCAGCCTGTCTCCAGAGCAAAGGGGGCTCCAGCCCTCGGAGCATCTCCGTGGCCCTACAACCACCCTACAGTTTGGGCCTCCATCACCCTGCTGTTTTTGTCCTCCAGAGCTGTCAGGTACAGCACACAGTGCCCTGTTATTCTCTAGTCTAAATAAAAAATAAATTATTTAACATACTATTTTGGTAATATCAGCCATTGCAGGGCAGCTTTGCTCTTCCCTGGCATAGCCACCTGGCTCCTTGGAAGCCATGATAGGCACACAATGAGAGGTCTTGAGCAAAGGGAATCAGGAAATCACGCCACAAGATGAATATGTGAGTGGTTTGGGAAGCCAGAGCCTTCATCCTTAACATTGTTGCCAAACACAGGGGTGTCCAGCCATGCCTCCAATGTTTCTCAAATGTTCCAGCTTAGCAGCTCCTCGGCACATTTCCTCCAAACACGGAGTAGTCGGTAAGCAAGTTAACGTTTGGCCTCTTGCCTTCCCCCCACACAAAGAGCTTTGTATGTCAAGTGTGAAAGCTTTAAAATGGAATAAAAAATAAGATTATTTTTCATCCTGGATGGGAGGCGACAACATGCAACTCTTTACCTTTTCTTTCCTTTCCCTTTTTGGTTTTTTTATGCTGAAAGAAAGATATAATGCAACACATTTTTGGAAGACTAAGCAGACGTTAACTGTGCCAGGTCCTATCTACTGCATCCTTCAGCATGTTCCAAGGAAAGCAGGCAAAGTATTTTAACTCTGCTATACACCACATAAGTCAGCTTCTTAACTGCTTAGAGTGACTGGTACTACTAGAGAGGGAGTAAAAACTATCTATTTTTAATTCTTTTGATAAACCAGCTGAGCAGTGTCATTGCTGTAACTTACTGTGTCTGCTTTCCAGCTGAGATTGCTTCAAGGTGGTGTATCATTAGGAGTTTCACTGTTTCTTCATGTAGGAAAGATTCCCAGCAAACTGGCTTTTATACTGATGAAAGAGGACTTCAGTCCTGTTGGAGTGACTTGCTACTCCTTCCAGCAACAGAATTTGGAAAATTTCACTTGCATAAAATTGAAGTTGTTTCTCGGTTAGAACATCCTGTATCATTTCTTGTTTTCAAGAAAAAATAGTTGAAAAAAAAACCCCAAAGACTGTGAAAAGAAGAATGAGTGAGTATTCTTTAGACTTAAAAGAAAACATTACTTACAGATAAAGCTATTTTAACTTAAAATTTCTGTGACTTTCCCAACACTGAATGCCATTTTCTTTAAACTCCTTTGGCCTGGAGTCATTCTGTGTTCACAGTGATGTGCTCACTCTTTCTCTTTCTTCTCCCTTTTTATTTCGTGTTATTGATTTTGAGTTTATAAAATATACCTCAGAAATGCAAAGACAAGGGAACATTACATTTTTTCAAAGCAGGGATGGTGTAAGAGAAAAAGTACCGTTTGTGATCTTGAGATGTGAAGAGGAAAGATGATCTGCTGTTGTCTTTTGCTTGGGTGTTTCCTCAAAGATGATACAATAGTGCTATCCCTCTGCTCGTTTCTCCTGCATTAGCTGGTTATTTATAGACTATTCCAACGCTGGTAAGACTGATGGAATGGCTCTCCTTATCCCTTGAACTGTAAGGTTCCATGCCAGGGTGTGATGGGGTTTTTTTTGTCAAAGTGCATTAGGAAGAAAACAGAGTCCAGTCATTTATGACAACCACTGTTTTCTTTGGTGGTGGTTTAGAGCATCGCATGAGAATCCACCTTGAAGAAAGAATTACTTTAAAGACAGAATTGAAGGCACAGTTTTATTTCACATATGTGTAGGTAATTTTACTAAATTAAAAATATTCGTACACAGAGACAGTAATTGTAAGTATTTATTTAGTATTTAAGAACAGCATTAAGTCCAGTGTTTAGACAACTACTGTAGACAATTTGTAATGAGAAATTTAGCCTTTATTGGAAAAATACCTCAGCAGCACCTTTCTTTTAATAAAACTTTGAGTTTTTTCACTTATAAAGAAACTTGTAATACTTTTAATGAAACTTGTGGCTTTTGACAGTATGGATTTTCAGAGCTTTGTAGTCTATTTGCTGAGAGTAGCCATTGCTAAATCATTTAATTTAAACATAACTGCTCTTGGGATGAATCTGGTTTTGCAGTTCCCGTATTACCTTATGGAATGTCAGTAAAAGTTAAAGTATCCATGTCAAATTTCTACATGCCTTTTTCTTTGTCATGTCATTTTGTTTTTCCATGCCTTCCTTGTTTTTGCAAGGGGTTTTAAATCCCTGGGACTGCTGATTGTGAAGGCTTGACATATAGGTGGCAACAGAAAAAAAGGGGATACCCCAGTACTGATACTGGGGCCCATAGTGTTCAATAACTTCGTCAACAGTGTGGACCAAAATGTGGCCCAAAAGGCAGAATACACATTCTGTAGATCTGTTGATGGTTCTTAATTAAGAGCAGCTGGCACACTGCTTGATGGAGCTTCAGGCCACACAGGTCCTGAAAACTCTCAGAGTTGAACCAACAGAACCTCACTGAGTTTCTGGATCTGGGACAGGGTAACCCTGTACATCAGTACATGATGGATGCCATAAAATCTCTGTCCTTGGTGATGTTTGAGACTTTCCTAGAGAAAGCCATAGCTGAATTCCAGTGGTTTGGGCAAGAGTCCTCGTTTAAGCTGGGAGGTTGGACTAGAGACTTCTAGAGGGAGGGTTGTCAAAGAGAAGCTCAGTCTGTTTGATGAGCCACTTCAGGTTAAATTATTTCCTTATTATCTGGTAGTACCCAAATAGTAATTTCTGACTGCCAAAGAGACAAATGATTACAGAATTTAAACCACATTGCATAAAAAAATCAGCTTTTTTAATTATTTGAAGATGTTATCTCTTACTATGTTAAAAACTAAAACCCAAATTAGATACATTTCTAAAGCATACAGTAAAATTACACAAGGAATCTAAGACTGCCATTTCTAGGATGAATTTTGTGAGAAGTGTCCTGTGCTATGCAGAAATTCAGATTAGATGATTTTGGTGATGCCTTCTATTTTCAGAAGTTTGGCTGAATTAATTCAGAGGCAAAATTGAGCTCTGTAATGGGTTGAAGTTTTGCAGCATGCATTGTGAAAATTATTTTTAAAGGATACAAACTCAGTCTAGACTTCCTTAATGTCTTGATGGAATGGATTAACTGAACATTTTTAGTAACTTGAAATGGCAGCTCCAGAAAATGTAGTCAAAGATGCCAGAAGTGTGCATAGAACTGGAAAATGCCTAAGTAGAACAGTTTCTATCCTGCTGACTAAAAGTCCAAATACAGTGGAAATGATTGACTGGATAGAGAAAAGAAGAAAAGAAGGACTATCCAGGTGTGTTCCTGGTCAGTTTGTAGTTTAGTTTACAGCTAAATTGAATATGTTGACTGTCAACCTGACCTCGTAAGTGATAGATTGGACTGTCATAGAAGAGTGACCTAAAAGGCAGAAAACAGAGGAGAAAACTGTGTATTTGAAGTACTAATTTTATTTTCTTTTGGAGAATTGCTTAGGCCAAATACAGCTTATATAGACAACATATGTCTCCAAATCGACTTACTGGTATCACTTTGGTTTTCCATTAAATCAGATTAAAGAACTCTGCGATTTTGATTTCATCAAATGTGAAAGTGCACAGGGAGTCAGAGCAAAATCTCTGTTGTGTGTGCATGTGGATTTTCCCTATTGTTTTTTGTCCTTGGTGTGGACACACCTGTGCTTTACCTACTTTATGGATGGTTTCTTGAGCTGTACAAGTACAGCTTTGGTGCCATCAGCCACTCCTGATCCCACTTTGTATCCATAGTGACAGCTCTGTTCTTACCAGGTGTGATGATTTAGTCACTGAGTTATAGTTTCAAAGACAGTTGCATTCATTTTCTTGTTGTACAAGACAATCTACTTGATTGAGAGATTGGAGTAAGTTGTCTGCTTCTGACAAGGATAATCATTCCTTTTAATCTGACTACTGCTTCCTGCCTCTCATAATGGGAAGGATTTAATCTCTTGTGGAGACTAGATGCTTACCTTGTGAAAATCACCCCCTGCTCTGTTGAAGTAAACAGAGCTCAAGCACATGTTCAAACCTGACCACAAACTTCAGTGCTGCTTCAACCATAATTCAATTATGGCATCATGTATATGTGTGTGTAATGTTTATGGTTTCATACCTTGTCTCTTTTGAGATACACTCTTTTGGTTGTCATTGGACTCCATGTGAAATACATTCTTAAATGCAATAGTGAACATTTTAAGGTGTTTTTCTTGAACGAGCTCTAATTCAGTCTAATTTCCTTCCTTTTTCTGAGGTGTTCAGAAGTATAAAAACTCAAGCATTGATTAACAGTCAAAAAAAATAGAAACAGATACATTTACCACTTATTTATTACTGTGTATTGAGAGTGGGAAGGGGCACTTCAATGCTCTTCTCCATCTGGCACATCCTCAATGTGATGGAATTTATTCATTTCCCAATTTAAATGCACATGGGTTCAGTTCTGCAGAGTGCAGAACGTGTTGGCCTCGATCCAGGAGAGCGTTGTATTTGTCTGGTCACCTGTAAGCACGTGGGCAGAGGGCTCATGTGCTTCAGTTTAAACGTGCCCCTCAGTCAGGGCAGGCTGCTCAGCACCTCTCCCGCCTCAGCCCTCATCCCTGAGGGTGAGCCGTGTGCAGGCAGGTTTGTAAAATAGGAATTGACACCCTCCTCTGGGAAATTTAACTCACAAGACTAATAACCCATCTGTGGTTTATATTTCTTCATCTTGACTTGTTCAATGCATGTTTAATTTGGGAGGGTTGCTTCAAGGTTGTGGCGAGGGCGCTTTGGCGCTATAATTTCTGTTGTGGAATGCAGTTCTTGTTGGAATAAGGTACATCATGTACTTTTACTCTTTTGTCAGAGAGCAGAAAGACAAACACGAGCCATGGACTCAGTCCAGTACGCAGAATTCTGTGAAAGTCGGCAATTGAGTTTTTGTAAGTATTATAATGGCTGCACTGTATGGAGATGTTTGATTATTATTTCATGTAATAGAGAGCACACCAGAACCTCATGTTTTTTAAAAGCACTTTTGTTTCATCCTCAATAATAAAACTTTAAATTCTTTCTCTGCGTAACTCCTGGGAACAGTTAATTTAGCAATTTCGGGCTGTATCGGGCAGAGTATTTTATTTGAATATTTACCAAGCTTTCCATGTGCTCAAATACTGTGCTGGTGAGGACCATAGAACTGGTAAGGAGTTAATGGATTAAAACCACCACTTGCCTGAAGTTGTCATGGTGGTGTCAAAGTTGGCATATAGGAAGTTTCATGGTTGCAGGTTTTTCGGAATGCATCTAAAATTAGAGAAGAGCAGCAAGTTCTGCTTTTATTTCCCGATCCGCAGAGACACAAAGAACTTACTAAAGAGACTTTTCTATTTTAAGCTGTAAGCTCCTGCTGTGGAATTTGTTCAACATTAGCCAAGTTCATCAGTATACGCCATTCCAACACTAATAACATGATGACAGAATTAGGGCTTTTCTAGCACTGAAAACCAACTTACTAGAAGTACTTGTGGGCCATGACTATAATGAGCTGTAAATTAATGGGCTTGATCATGTAGCAAAACATCATTACAGAAGCGGTTAAGTGATGACTAAGGTTTTAGGTCAAATGTCAGAGAAAGGGAGGCGAAGGAGCCAGTAAAAATCATGACAAAACAGCACATGATCCTACAACACAGACTTGAACACAATGGTGTCTTTAAAGGAGAGACCTTATCTTGTTCTTCCTTTTAAATTCAAAGAAAGAGTGACTCATTTATGGCCAAAAAATGACACATTTGAGATACTGTTCTGCATCAGCAAATGTCAGCAAACGTAGGAAAACATGTTTTGCAAGCATTTCTTTTCTTAATTCAATATGTTTTTTATGTTTAGTTATAATTTGGCATCACACATCTGTGAGCCATTAGATAAATGATACTTCAGATTAGGGCGACTTTAGGAAATGAGAGGTTTGTGATAAAGTAATTTTGAAAACCCAAAAATTGCCATCTGGACACAGAACAAATAGAAATCTTAAATTTGAGAAATAAAATTGAATGTTGCTGACCAGGGGATTGTGATCTATAAAAATATCTCAGTGCTATTTTCACAATGTTTTTAAATGACCATATCTATAAGGTTCTTTTTCACTGACATTTAATGTCATTAAAGAATATGAGAATTACAGTGGTTAGAAGATAGTTGCAAGAGCAACTCAGGCACAAATTCAATTGCATAACATGAGCTCAATTAGATAGAACGTAATAAGTGCCATGCAGAACATTTGTTCAAAACTAACATAAAAGCTATATTTTAACTTCTTTTCTTGTAGTTTAGTAAAAATTGAATGTAGTACTATGTTTAAAGAAGAAAACCCTTTTTACTGTAATATAAACCCATAAAAACTGTGTCGTAAGAGAATAAACCTGGAAGGGACTTCAAGAAACCTATTCTAAAAATATGTATTAATAAACACAGCTCCAGATATTTCTGTGCACTTTTAAAGACAGGCAAAAGAAAACGTCCATCAAAGGATCAAGTACTACTGATCTACAAATTTTAATTGTAGGGAGAATTTTGTGGTTCTTCTGTCACCTTCACACTTCTCATATTTCTTTCATTTTTTTTCCTTTCCTTAGTGACCCCATGTAGCCTTCTCATTCCCTCCTAAATAAAAATGAGCATTATTTGCACCTGTTTTCTGTTTAACACCTGACACGGGTAGCTTTTTAGTCCTGGTTGAAAGCAGGTTGAAAAAGCTGTTTCAGATGGTTCTTCACGTTGTAATCACTTCATTTTGGTTGCCCTGTCTCACAAACAGCCCTCATTAAGACCTCTGTCTTAACAGCTCTTTCTGTCCTGAGATTTCTGTGATCATCTTGTCCACCACTGACCTAAGTAAGATCATCCTTTTTTTTCTCCCACAATGTTTCTCTGTTCCGTATTTTTCTCTGCCCTTTCTCCAAAGTGATCTCATCCATTACCAGCGTGAAGTTCTCGTGTGGATGTTGATCATTTGCAGATCTACATCTATCCTTATTTCTTTTTAACCAAAGCACATTTAAAAAACACTCATCTACAAATCATTTTGGCTCCCCTGTCAGCACCTAACCCCTGTATGGTTAACACCAGGACTGCTGAATTCTTCTGTCCTTCTTCATTTGTCTTTGCTATGGTTAATAAAATTATATCAATTTTATCTGGGCTCATATTTGTATTGATTTCTTTCAGTGCTTTCCCTAATTCATCGTTATTTCTTTTACAATACTTTCCAAATCAGGTTTGTCCTGTCTACACTCCTCTGAGGTTGACCCTTCATTGTTTTAAATCTTCTGTATGATTGATTACCTTGTGCTTTTTTTCTCTTTACTCCATGTGCTTATGGGTCTCCAGATTGTTGTGTATGAAATAATAGTTTTTACCCACAGGTTCCGCTTTGGTAATTCCTTCCTTGATCAATCAAATCACACTCACACCACTTGTTCCACATTTTCAGTATTTCTGTTACCCAAAAATTGATTATTTTGACCTACCTGTTGTTAACTTTTCCTTTTCCCCCTGTGGTTTTAAATGACAGCAAAGAAAGCATCCAAATTTCGTGACTGGTTGGACTGTAGCAGTATGGAAATAAAGCCAAATGCAGTTGCAATGGAGATTTTGGCATATTTAGCATACGAGACTGTGGCCCAGGTAAGGGACTCTGCTGCTTGAATCTAATTAAAATGAATTAATTACTCTTGGATGTACTTCAGCCTCAGTGACAGGGTTGTGAGCCCCTTCAGAAGTGCAGTCACTGCTTCAGCTAACCAAGCTAACTGGATTCATGGAATCAAAGAATGTTTTGGGTTGGAAGGAACCTTCAAGCTCATCTAGTTCCAACCTCCTGCCAAGGGCAGGGACACCTTCCATTAGACCAGCTTAGAAATCCTGTCTGTCCTGGATGACAGATGTGGACTATACTGTACTCACCCCTCTGATACACAAATAGAAATGTTTTATAATGGCTACAGAGGAGAGTGGAGTCCAGCATGAACTTTATTCAAGTCCAAACTGAAACCACATACTTTGCTATGTGACCTTTGGCAGTGTGCTGAGGCTCATTCAACCCCATTGCACAATTGGATTATAAAGAAGGATTTCCTGGAAAACAAAATGTTACCTTAGTGCCAAGCCGAGCCCTCTTGGGTAGATAGATTGCTCCATATATTTACAGAAGTGGAAAAGAAAGGTTCCTTAGGCTGAAATATCTGTGAATAATTTTGTTTTCAGCTGAGAAACACTAAGAATATTCTGCCTCAACCCACAGCCCCTCACTCATTGTTGCAATGGCATTTGTAACCCCCCTCTGTTTTGCCTCTCCAGCTGGTGGACTTGGCCCTTTTGGTTAAACAGGACATGGCTCCCAAAGCTGGTGACCCATTCAGTCATGCCATATCTGCCACCTTCATACAGTACCACAATTCTACTGAGGTAAAACTTGCTTTTGCACTTACTAATGCTTTTTATGTTTTCCTTCACATGTATTTTCTTCCGAAGTAGACGTTATTGATTCTGGTATTGATACAAACTTTCTGTTGTGGAGTTTATGAGCTTTGAAGTTATGGATTTAGATGGAAAGACATTGAATTATAGTTCTGAATGTTAAATTCTTAGCAGAGGCTTTATAATTAAATGCAAATCCTCTTTTCTTGGGTGGAAATTCCTTCTCTCAGCATTCAAGGCTCTCTCTATTGCAGATTTGGAGATTGAAGTTTTCCAAATTGGCAAGTGCACCACGTGCTGTATTGCATTGCTATCATACAGATATTCTAATTACTTCTGGAATGAGCAACCCAAATTTGGTATTACATCTCTTCTAAGAGGAAATCTAAGAAGGCAATAATTGGGATGGGTTTTTTTGTGATTTGATTATATAATGGCTTTGACATCTTGCTTTTATAGCCACATCTCTTAGGGCAATCTACCAGTGTGAAGACCAGTCTTGACTCCCCTGAAAACACACCACCTCCTACACCCACCCCCCCAGCATCAGCAGGACAGCAACACCTTGGGAAAACCCCATCAGGAGCCTTGGGGAATGGTGGAATTGGACAGGACTCTACCAAATCCAAACAAAGAAAAAGAAAAAAGGTATTTGGTGCACAAGCCTGGGATTAAAAAAAAAAAAAAAGAGGAAAAAGAAACCAAAACATCTTCAGGAAATCAGTACAGAATCAAATAATGGTTTGGGTTGGAAGGGACCTTAAAGACCATCTCATCCCAACTCCCCTGCCAGGGACACCTTCCATTAGACCAGGTTGTTCAGAGCCCCATCCAGTCTGGCCTTGAACACTTCCAGGGATGGGTCATCCAAAACCTTGTCTTGACAACCTGTGCCAGGGCCTCACCACCCTCACAGTAAATAATGGGTCTCATTTTAACCTGTATCACATATTAACTACCATTGTTATTGTAGAGCCAAATGTGTGGTTTGGTGTTTTTTCCATCAGAACTAGGCTAAAGCTTCCCAGCAACGCCTGCAAACTGAGTTTTGTTAAGGTAACAATTGCTGCTGCTCAGATAACCTGCTCCTCTACAGCCACAGCAGGAGTCACCACCTCAAATCACCATCCCCTTCTCTGGCAGTGGCAGTGAACATAGGTTTTAAGGGTCAAAACATAAGCAAAGTAGAAAAAGAGGTGCTTGTGATTTTCCTACTCCCAGCAGCCTGTAACAACCCTGCCTGACTTGATTTATTTTTATGCCAGTTTGTTGCATTCAAGCTAAATATTTGTTTACTTTGCATAAAATACAGATATCTCCTATGCAGAGTGTGAAATTTAAATGTTGCAATTCTTGTCTGCTGTTATAGAGTCTTGGTGTTCTGTCTGAGAGGGATATATGTACCTTAAAACCACAAGGGAAATAGATTTGATTAAATAAACTGGATAGGAAACCCTGTCTTAGTCACTTGGGGTTGTTTTCAAAAAAATGTGATGGCAATGCTCATTCTGCTTCAAAGCAATGGAGTGACTTGGGATTCTGTCATGTGTTTTATTATTAAAAAAACCTCATTTTTCGGAGTACATCCAGTGATTTTTACAGTGATAGAAAAAGATGTATTTTCTCCTTCTTTCTCCTAATATGTTCAACTCTATGGCTGTCCTTATACTCTAGTTAGAAAGCTATTAGTGAATCCTAAAAACCTTTCAGAAAACTTCTGCTTTTCCTCTTCCTTTTTTATATTACATTTGATTATGTTTTGTTTCTGTGGCTGATTTCCATTATCATTCCTAGGAACAGGAATTTAGCTGGCAATGTAGTTTTTGATACATTATATTTTGCTGGTATTATGAGTTTATTTTAAATTCTTAGTGTTTCGCTTAATGCCTTTTAAAACAATTGTATTCCAAAAAGTGCACAGTTTTAATGAAAAGTTCTCCTGACTTATCCAGTTTGGTTGGGTATCTACTGGATATAACTGAGGCATTGAGACAAACAAGTTAACTTGGTGAAGAATGTTATTTTTAGGCTCTGAAGGCCCAGTCCAGCAAAACATATTTGAGTTTCATATTCCCTTTATGAGTGTCAATCAGCAAGGGAAGAATCTGCCATTGTATTATGAATTATTCCGTGTGTACACAGAGGCTCCAGTGGACTCAGCACTCTGGAAAATAAAACATTTCACAAAAACTATCCCCAATCTGAGAGCATTAGTGTATCATGTGAATGTATGAGGGGACTGTCGATGTGTGTTCATTAAACTTAAGTGTATAACTTAACTTTTTGTAATTCTCTGTGCATTCACTAATATAATTTTCATGAGTTTGTTGCCAAGAAGCCATCATCTGATAAGTCATCTGAATTCTGGCAATTTAGGTGGAGCCTAAAACAGCATTTCAGATTGATTAACAAGGACAAAAGAGTAACTTTTTCTTTTGAAATGCTGAGGAAACTTTTGTACAATCAGTACCCCACTACCAGTGAGTTCTTCTTTTTATCTGTTTACAGTCCATAATCCAAAAAGTCATTTGAAATTTGAAAACATTCCAATTTGAGGTAATTAATTTCTTTTCTTTGCTTCCTTCTAACACCATTATATCACATGTTTCAGCTTCAAATTTCAGTCTGATGTTACTCAATGGTGATTTTGGTGTCAAATTGCTTTCCACTTAGGGTGCTTGTTCAATGTTTTCCCCACCCCTTGACATCATAATAAGAGCCTGAAATGCTTTAAAAATAGTTTCTGTGGTTATTGCAGTGTGACTTATATGACCCTCTCATTTTAGTTTGAACATTTTCTGCTCTTTTCAATTGCAACACACAGCAGCACTAGGTGAAAGATTTAAGAGGACAAACATGGTGTTCTTTGGGTCTCTTAAGCAAAGTTCATGTAAAAGTCCTCTTTAATTTGTTAATAGCTTTTTCTCTCTAATGTAATGTGTGGCAGCAATGATGTGTATCCTCAGGAAAAAAAAAATTGCTCCATTTTATAAAGGTTTATTTTCATGCCTTATGCACTGTAGGTCTGTTGTGTGTTTTTGATTTAGTAACAATTTATGTGTTTTTCTGTTGCAGAGCACTGCAGCCTGTGGTATAGAGGCTCAAAGTGATGCCATCCAGCCCAGCCACATCAGAGAGGCCATTCGACGCTACGGCCACAAGATTGGCCCCCTTTCCCCATTCACAGTACGTAATAACAGAGTTATAAAAAGTTATATTTATAATCTTAAAGAACTTTGATTTTCAAGTGGTCGAATGAAGAAGCTTTGGAATTGTTGAGAGCAATTTGTGGTGACTGTAATTTTCTTTATAAAAGTGGCATAATTCTCTCGGGAAATAAAACTTAGTAATTTCTGTCTCTTTTTGGAAGGACAAAAAAGTTTCTTTTTTTCCTTTTAAATATTATTTTCTTTCAATTACAAATTATGCTTTTTTGTTAGTGCTTGAATCTTCTGTTTTTCCAAAGTTTAGGTTTACAGTTATTTTAAATTATATGTATTGCAATATGGTGAAGAGCACTTTATATTCTAAAATTAGTTGTGTGTCAGATACTGCTCCTATTGGAAGCTGAACTCTCAAGTGTCACATTTACAGTTGGAGAAAGAAGAGAATGGTTTCTTTAGACAACTTTGAACCTCCACTGAAATGTAATAGAACTGAGCTTGTGGTAAAACACTGATGGGTTCTGAGGTTTTGCCATCATTTTTTCTATGCAAATTGCAAATCCATTGTTCACAGCAGCCAAACGAATTCTTTATTTAATTTTCTCAGCTGATGAAAATGTGAAAGCAGTCCATCTCCAGTGTCATAAATTGGGGTTATTTTCTTCTCATCTGCTCTTCCAAGTGGCATAAATCCTGCTTACCTCAGAATATCTACCTTTAGGAAGCAATAAATGTCAAAGAAATCATTATAGCAAAAACAAAACGAAAAAAAACCCAACACCAAACTAGAACTTAGCTTTTAAAAATCAGGAAGAAATTGTCCAATATTTAAGAGATTTTAGGAAAAGAAAATTATTCTGAATTTGAAGGAAGTTCATCTACATAAAAATTAAGTGTATGAAGACCATAAATATCAAAGAAATAGTGGCCTTTGACCTCAGAAGTGAGGAACAAAAAAAAAGTAAATGAATATGTGAAGTAATAATTTTTCTAACGTCAAAACTGGTCAACGCTTTTATAAATGACAGTGAATGTTTGGTTTATTAATGATAGGCAATACACATTTGCAATTAATTGTCTTTACATAATTTTACCTCTCAGAAATGACAGATTAATATTGTGTAAAGCATAGGATAGAATTTCTAGTCCAAAACAGAAAAATATCTTTAACAGAAGTTTGCTAAGAGATGTAGCTAAGAACATGGCAATAGCTTCTGAAAGCTGAGAATGTATTTAACTTTATTATAAAGAAGTAAAGAGCTCAAATAAACAGTTGCAGAAAGGTGAGTCTTCCTTGCCTGACCCTCACTAAAAGTGGTTTGGTCAATTATTAACCAAAGTTTAACTTTTTCTGCAACCACAAATTATAATAAAATCCTCTGGTTTGGGTTGGGGTTTTTTTATGTCCTCCAATCTTATGAATTTCCCAAAACAGGGCAGCTAACTGAACAATTTAATTTGTTAACATTACTTACTGTCAACGTGGTTGATGAGATGAGCAGATCTTGTTCCCTCTCAACAAGCCAAGAATGAGAGGGAATCTTGGGTCAGCTCCTGGATGCATTCAGATGTTGTAGGGCTGTAATATGACCCTGCTTTTAATGAGAAAGCTCGGGAAAAGCATTTTCAGAGGTATTACAGAGTATGCATTTAGGTCTGTCCATCTGCCCACTTCTCTCAGTGCCCTCATTGGCAGCTCTGGGGATAACTTTGCTATCACACTTGTCCCTGCAATAACCATGACCTTTGTGTCTTAATTTGGCGGAAACGTGGATGGAGCACTGAGTAGCCTCTGCAATCTACATTAAAAAAACTTCTACAACAGATAGACTTCAGTGATGGAGAGGTCTGATGGCATGTGTCTAACCAAACATGAGGAGTGAGATTAATAGCCCTACCACAGATTTTTATATAATCAGACAAGGCCATTTCCTCAGATCTCAGACAGGAACTATATGACACAGTCTGTGTAGGTACTGAAAAACCTTGACATAATGTTGGAACTCCGAGTCTCTGAGGGAAGAACTGTGTCAGAAGGCTCTAAACCCTTTCCTATCTCTTTGAAGCCACTATAATGGATATTTTTATGGATCAATGTACTAACCAACAGGCAGGCAAGTTGTCAAGGGCCTGCTGAATTCAAAAAGTTCATATCTCAACCCAAACCAGTAGGGGATGGGTTTTCTAACTAGAAGAATGAAATCTAACAGTCAGATGTTATCCTACACAAAGATGTGTGATGTGGAAAGACAGCCACCAATTGCATCCCAACAGTACTTAGGGAAAAAACAGACTTGAGGAATGAAAAAGTTTTGTGTGCTGGTATGTCTAGATAGAGAATTGTGTCAGTGGAGTCATGCACTGTGTGGATTTGAATGGAAGTAAGTCCTTGAAGGAGGAGAGGTTATTTTTGTGTAATGGATTTGCAGGTATGATTTGCTGTGGTTCTATGATATTTTGGTTGTATATTTTCCATTTTGCCCATCTTTTCTCAGTTTTTTCAGACTCTTATGGGGGAGAGAAACAAAGGGCTGTTGTGGCAATTTGGCCAATGCAAAATAATAAGCAATTATGGCTAAACTCCACTTGTCTGAGCATCGTAATGGTTTTTCAGTACTTCAGGAAGGTGCTATTCCTGAATACACCAAGAGTCATTTGTACTCAGCATCCAGTGTTTAACTGGGTCTGTACCTAAGTTGACACTTACTGGGTTAGTGTCTTGCTGTGCTTTGCATCTATGTGTGAAGAGGTTTCCCAGAAGAATCAAGGTGTGTTTCCTAAATGCATGATGGGCTGGTGACTGTTTAGCCCAAAACCGCTTATGTCACTATCTGAAAATTTATGTAAATTGTTCTATGTGAATTAATAAGTATTTCAGTACTGTTAGGTAACTATTGGTTTTGTTAGAGGGGCATTTTTTACAGAAACTGAGATCCTGAGTATTTTCAGGCATTAAACCAATTACAGAGGTGAACAGCACTAGTAGCAAAAATATCTGGCATAACAATTTATAACACCTTTCTTGCGGACATCTCAAACTGCAAACTTTTTGCTGGTAATGTTCATTGAAATGTCCTCTTGATATTCATGGGGTAATACGTGACTTCCTCTCTTTGGCAATTTTCTCTGAAAGAAAAAGCCCATGAGCCACATGTTCCGTGAGGAATTCTGTGTGGCAAGGGTCTCTCACAGTCAGCAAGCATCCTGGGATGCATATTCAAAGAAATTTTGGTTTATTTCTTCTCTTCCCTTTCCCTCATCCCTTTACCTGGTGTCACAGACCTAAGATACAACACATTTTTTCAAATCTTTCCCTGTTCTGCTGTTTAATCATGATCGTCCCTCTCTTCCATCTGATTTGGTCATGAGTGTTCCTAATGAGGCAGTTTTAGAAGAAGAGTTGAGCTGGTTAATTTATTCTTTAACAGCATTTGATGGATGTTGGTTTGGACAAAAAGAACACTTTGAAAATTTTATAATCATATGGTAAATGAGAACTAACATTAAACTAGTGAAAATGATCTGTTTGCATTTATTTTGACCTTAATAGCTATGTCAAAATGACTAACATAATTAGAGCATTTAGGTTTTGTCTCCAAATGCAAGCCACAAGGGAAAGCAGCAAGTGTACTCTGGATTCTTCTGCATTGTATCATGACCAAGGTAGTTTAGACATACATTTTATCCATATATTTTCTATTAACAGTATTGGGTGATGCTCAGTGTTTCCTGCTCTAAAGCATGGTCCAGACTTGCAAGAAGCAGAGAAATGTTAAAAAGTAGTGACATATAATTTTGCAAGACAGGAATGGGAAGTATGGAACTCTCCATTTTGTGGGGTAATGTAATTCCATATGCTGGGTCTGTGTCTATTAAGTGCATTTGAGTTACGAAAGTGTATAGTGAGAATGATATGCAGTCTTGACTGGGCCTGTGGGAATTATCCTAATATTAGTTCAAATGATATTCAAAATAATAGTATTTATTATGCCAAGGTATTCACAAAAATATGGATATATGGAAATATGGATATTTCTTACCAGGAATACAAGCATAATGCAAGCATAATGTCTCTTGAGAAATTATTTTATTTTAATTGATTGTGTTTCAAACAGTTGGGGTAACAAACAGATAATTCTTTAAGAGTATTTATTCTGTGAGCAATATACAGTTCTTACCTGAAATCTTGATGTGAGCAGTTGTAAGTGGTACATGAACAGTTCGTAAGCAGTACTTGTGACCATGAGAACAGCTCTAGTAAAAAGTACAGCTGGGATCCTCTTCTCTGAAATTAAAAAGTTGTCTCTACAACAGTGGAAGATCACAGGCAAAAGGAAAAAGAAAACGTTTCCAAAGCAGATTCTTTGTCTTTAGTTTATGCCAGCTGTGAAACAAAATGCTTCAGATGTTTAGTTAAGAGAAGCTGAGTTCACCAGTGTAACTTGTAACCCTGCACAGGCTGCAGACAGTGGCCATTATTCAGCAGTGTGTGTGTGTGTAAATGGAGTGGATTGAATGAACAGAGGTATAACCAACATTTCTTTGGATATTTATGTTTTGGAGGGAATGCTCCTTCAGCCTCCAAGGCATTTCAGTATGAAAAGGCTTGCTAGTCTAAACCTCCTCTTGTTAAATATGTCAGTCTCATAAAATTGCCTACGCAGCATAAAACAATTAATATTTACGAACCCGTGTTTATGATACTGTTGTGACATTCCCTGCACAAAGAACATGTAACGCCAGAGAATGTGATTTGGCAGGGACTTATATTATTTGGGTCTATATTATTTAGCCCTGCTTATACTCTTGGAGGTTCTTAAATAATTAGTGCAAGTATCCCATGTAGACTTCAGTATGTTACGTGTACATGTAAATCATAATTTCACAATCAAATTATATACTTAGTCAGGACTTTTCACTTCTGATGTTTTTTAAAGTGCTCATTATTGATCCTGATTGAGCTCAGCTTTTATGCAAATACTTAATTTCTGAGGTGAAAAACATCACAGTTCATCACATACC